ATCCACCCTCAGGACATGTTCCCCTGCAGCTTGGAGTCACACCTGTATTCCTGCAGGTCCCCAAACCATTTAATTACTGAACCCCATGCAAACTGAGCGTTGCCACGGCGACCTGCAGCCCTAAGAGGAGGCTCTTTGTCTCCTCCTTGACCTTTCAGGAGATCTGTATCTTGCTCGAGCCCCCTTCCATAATCCGGTTTTTAAAATATAATATTATGCTGCTGGAAGGGATCAGACCTTTAATCTGCTTGTGTGTGCATGTGTCAGTGCATGGCTGGGGGTGCTGCTTTAGGGCACCCTGCAGGGTCCAGGGCCAGACAGGCACAGCACAGGGTGACTGCCCTGCTGGGGCTGCAGGTGAGCTCCCAAAATTACTGCCTTTGGCACACAGATGGAGGAATCCTCTTCCTCTCCATTCCCCTGGTGTGGGCTCCTTCCAGGCAGGCTGTGCAGTAATTGGGCTTTTGCTGTACTTTGTTGGTGTCCCCAAAGGGTGTGTTCTGGATCCTGACCTGAGGTCCTGCAAGCTGGGTATTCTTCTGCCTGTTGTATTCCCTCCATGTCTGTGAGCTGGGCTCTGATAAGTGCTGGGCAGGGCCTCTTTTATGGAATGTGGGAACAAAAGTCTGGAGCCAACAGGAATGAGGAATAACAGAATAATGGAGTGGTTTGGGTTGGAAGGGACCTTGAAGACCATCTCATTCCGACTCCCTGCCATGGGGAGGCCTTGGACACTTCCAGGGATCCACAGCTTCTCTGGGCAACCTGGGCCAGGGCCCCACCACCCTCACAGGGAAGAATTTCTTCCCAATATTGCATCGAACCCTGCCCTGTGGCACTAGGAAGCTATGTTTCTTTCTCCTGTCACTCCAGGCTCTTGTCCAAAGTCCATCTCCAACTCTCCTGGAGGCATTTTAGGCCCTGGAAGGGGCTCTCAGGTCTCCCTGGAGCCTTCTCTTCTCCAGGTGAACCCCCCCAGCTCTCCCAGCCTGGCTCCAGAGCAGAGCTGCTCCTCTGATCATCTCGGTGGCCTTCTCTGGTCTCGCTCCAGCAGGTCCACGTCCTCCCTGTGCTGGGACCCCAGAGCTGGATGCAGGACTCAAGGTGTGATCTCACCAGAGCAGAGCAGAGGGACAGAATCCCCCCCCTCCAGCTGCTGCTCACTCTGTGAGGATGAACCCAGGACACGGTTTGGCTTTTCGGGCTGCGAGAGCAACACAACTGGGGCACGCTGAGCTTCTCACCCACCAACACTCCCCAGTCCATTCCCCACCCAGCCTGTATTTGTGCTTGGGAATGAGGAGCTGGGGACCAGTTAGTCCAAGGGAACTGGAGCAGGGGGTGTGGAGCCAACGCTGGCACTGATGGGGCACAGCTGCTCCCCGTTCCTCCCAGCTGCGGGTGTTTGGGCTGCTCTGGGAGGAGCTCAGGGCCCAGCCTGCCTGCAGGAGGACAGCTTTTCAGGTTGTTGTTTTCCCTGGAGAAACGTGCTAGGCTGTTCCTGGGGTTTTTATGGCACGTGGAGGAGGCAGGGCTGGGGTGGGTGTTTGCCTGCTGTGGTGTCGGTGATGGTGGTTTGGCTGAGCTGTTCCCTCAGGGCTGGGGGAAGGCAGAGCCTGGGCAGGACTGAGCTGTGAGGAGTCTGGCCAGGCTGGAGTTACAGCTGATGCTTCTCAGCTCCTGGTGGTGCAGTGTCTTTTGTCCTGCTGGACCAGGACAAAATTTTAGGGCTGGGAATGCAGCTGCAGTGGATGTGCAAAAAGAGGTGGTTTCTGAAAATTGCTGTTACCTGGGCAGAGCCCTCCTTCCTGGCTACATCTCTGAGAGCTGGTGGAGTACTGGAGGAACTGAGACTCAATTAAAAGTTAAACTTTCACTCCCTTTATTAAATGGCATCGGGATGAAAGCAGTTAGTTGGATTTTGTGGAGGTTCATGGAGGTCTCTTATTAAAATTATGTAAGTTCACTCTCTTGTGCAGTCCTGGGTGAGGAGGAGGTGGCAGAGCTGTCAGCTGCAGAACCAAAGCTGGTGTTTTGTTCTGTTATGGTGGCAGAAGAGTCCTGTGGGTTCAGCAGAGCCTCCTGCAAGTGTGTCCCTTGTTAGAGCCCACACAGTCCCTGCAGTCTCATTGCAGCTGTTGCCTTTGCTGGGGCAGTTTGGCCACCAGCGCTTTAAATAATGCTGAAATCCTTCACCTATGCAGAAAGATCTCAGTTTTTCATTAAAAAAGTCTCTGGTTACCTGAGAACCTTCAGTTCTCTTTTCCCCTGCTAAGGCTTGAGCCCCAGCTCTGTGCTTCCCCCTGAGCCAGGTGGAGAATGAGCCCAGAACACAGAGGCAGCCTCTGCTCCAAACCTCCTGTGCACCAGGGCAAAAGGAACAACTCCTGGGGACAGTTTGATGTGTTAAAAGCTGTCTCAGCCTGTTTGCTTTATCTTGAGACTTCCTTCCCTTTCCTCTCAATGTCACCTTGGTGTTCAGTTTGCCGTCTGCAAAGGTATTCCAGCGAAATCCTGTTTTCCTGGGATTCTGCCTAATTGTGTGGGCAGACTGAGTGGAGTTCAAAGCCTGTGGCTGTGCCTGTGAGGCCCGTGGTACCTTCTCCTGTGTGGAGTCATGACTTGCTAATGCACCTTTGCACGCCATCATAATTTTCATTTTAAGAGCACGGAAAATCTCCTAAAAAACACAAGAATTTTGGGGAAAGGAAGAATACCACCTCTGGTGTGGTAATGTGTTTCCTTCCACGTGTTTTTGTTTGCACTGGATATATCACAGCTTTCTGCACTCTTTTTTAAAGAGTTTTGGAGAGCCCGGTTCAGGAGCTGCTGTGCTCTCCTCCAGGAAGATGGGGTGGATAAAACAATTCCTCCTCGTAGCTGAACGTGTTTACAGTGCTGTGGGCTCGACTGGGATGCAAGACACCCTGCAAATGCAAAAGATGTAATTATCCCATTTTTCTCTTCCTACTCCCTGCCTCTCTCCCCCTGCACTCGGGGCTCCTCTCCCCCGCCCTTTCCCCAGCGTTGTGCTGATGGCAGCGTTTATCTGCATTTGTCCTCTGTCCCTGACATCCAGTTATTGATTGGCATGATTAAAAAGAACTGATAATCACTTCACATTAATCCCATAAATGACTTAAGACACCAAAATATTTGCATAATGCATCTTAAAAGGTGGCAGCTAAAAGAGGATAAGGCCCAAAACTGCTTGGCACAGGAGAAATGGGCTTCCCACTCACCTGTGGGCTTGCTTAAGTAATTAGCCTTCTGCTTGCATAAGGAGGAATCTGAACTGGTTTAGCGGAGGAAGATGCAACGGGTGCTCAGAGGCTTTGGGATCTGAGCATCCCTTCTCCCAGCTGAGCCTGGGGGCGGGAGGGGTGAGGGGGAGCAGCGGGAATGTGGCAGCGGCTGCGGGAGCGAGCGCGCGGGGCTGTTTTTGTCTGCGGCATCCTGTGAAAATCTGGAGCCAGACGCCCGCTGAAAGTACCTCTGTCTAAAGACTTTCTGTCATAAACTTATCTGATTAGCAGGGAGCTAGACGACAGATTAGCCCCTGCTCTCCCAGCAGCAGGGATGGGCTCCCGGGAGCGCCCGGAGAGCATCCGCTCCCGGCGCTGGGAGCCTGGAGGTGGGGGAGCAGCAGGTGGGGAGGAGGTGGAAGGGAGGGGGGGGGATAAGAGGGGGATATTTAAAGGAAGATCATTGCTAGGTAATTCTGCAGATAATGCACCCTCCGTGCTGCCCTGCTGGTCCCAGGTGAGGACACTCTCTGCCACCAGTGCGTTGGTGTCATGTGCTGCGTGTCACAGCAGCACAGAGTGGGTGCACTTGGCATGTGAGTAGAGGCTGGGAGGGAGCTGTGGCTGTGGGACTGGGGGGGAGGGAAGGGGGGCAATATTGCTAATATGTGTATTTTTTTTATAAGTGTCTCTGGTTCTTCTGGTTGTCATCTTCCATTTAGAGGGGGGGGGAGGAAGAAAAATAGCCACATCTAGCTCGGGGCAAGCACCTTGTGCTGGAAGGATGGGGAGGGGTTTGACATATTCTGCAAACAAACAAAAGGGAAACGTTCCAGCATTGCCAGTTAGTGTCGTGTTTTACCTTGTTCTTCCTCCTCACTGTTTGTATATCGTTTATTCAGAAATACTTTGCAAGTGGACAGCGCTTTGCAAGCCAAAAGCATTTGCCACTGAAATGCACTATCTGCTACAGTGAATGCTTTTTGTGTTCTCCCTCTCCATAGAAGGAAAAGAAATAGAAAAAAAAAAAAAAAGACTAAACCAGCCTACTTAGCAGCGATCTAATGCGAGGATAACAGGCAAAATAATGCTGAATTGCTCTAAAACATTTTCTTTTCCCAGAAGGAAGAGCATTGTTTCAGGATCTGTTAGAGGGAAGAGTTGAGAATTAGTTTTGTAAATAAATCTTTACCCTCAGCTCTGAGTAATGCTGATGTCCAGGCTCGTGGTGGGTTTCTCTCTAAAGAGAAAAACTATTATTCAATCAAATCAGTCTTTTGTTCCAACAGCGATGGAATGGAAAAACTTAGTTTTTTTGAGAATAGGAGGGTGGCAACTGATAGAAAACTATCAGTTATTTTCAGTTCAAGTTTCCTATTAATTCTGGAACAGACCTGCCAATTCCTGCACTTTCAGTTTTTCCATCCTAGATGTAAGTCCTGGCCCACGCAAGTTATATCTGGCAAAACTGAAATCAGGAGCTCTGGCAGCTGCAGAGTCCTTTATGGGAAATGAGAGTGCTGGCTGGGAAGGGGACTTTTTGCACTTCTCTCCCCAAAACTAGAGGAGGTTACCAAGGGACCCCGTGGGTGGGAGCGGGGGAGAGGCTTTCTTGGAATACAGCAGGGGCAGACAAAAGGCTCTTGCCTGTGCACACACACACACACACACAGAGATGCTCACACACACAGAGGAATCAATTATGTGGTGGCAAATAGGATTTCCTTAACTTGGTGCTTTTCTGCTCTGTTGCAGCCGCGATAACGACCTTTCCACTATCATCTCCAACCTGCACCAGAGCCGCCAGCTCGTTATGCCAGAGACCCAGAGCCGCTGTGAATTCAAGAGAAACAGCATCGAGGTTGGCCTGGGAGCAGCAGGTAAGGAGCTGGAGCAGGTCCTGCTGCTCTGGGTTTGTTGAGTACCCTCCTCTCCCTTCGTTTTTCAGCGGCTGGTTCCTTTGTGTTACACCCCGTGAGTGAGCTCTAGGAAGGGGTTTTTAATGTTCTGGCTGAAGATTAGCGTGGAAAGGATTTCGTGGCGATGGTGAAGCCCTTCTGAGATCCCAGCCCTGTGTGTTATTCCCAGATCTAGTGGTCTGTGTTAAAGTACTGGCAGAGGAGCTTGCGCCAGCAGAGGAGTGAAATGTCCCCAGGGCTGGTGCCAAGTGAAGCAGAAAGGCCTCGCAGAGAGCATGATTTGATTTGTAATTTCATTAATCAGAGGTTCCCCGTGCTGCTGCTGTGCCTGCCAGCTCCTTTGGGAGTGTGGTGGCTTGGTTTTGTAGCCCTGCCTGGCTTTTTTGGGGCAGTTCACCTGGTTTCAGGTTAGTGTGGTGACACCAGAAAGGCTCCTCTTGGATCCTTCACTGTGCCCCTCTGGATGTCAGTGAGGGAGTGTGGGCAAGGATGCTCTGGTTGACAGTTGTTCATCAGTCAGCAAGTGAGGCTCTATAATAAGCTGGAGATCTGTTGATTGCAGGATCTTGGATTTGTCCTTGATTATGAACAAATGTTGAGGAGAAACTGGGATTTATGTTAGTTTTGATATTGACTGATTCCTGTCCTTCCATATCAGAGCTGGATCTCTATGTGTGTTAATACAGACCTTTCCTGAAAACCTGTTTGTGGATTTGTTCATGGTTTTTTTGTTAGCCAATGGGCAGCTCCCAGTCTTTGCTTTCACATCTTAATCTTCATATTCTCATTATTAACAGATTTCCTTAACAGCCCCTTTTCCCTGCACAGCTCCAGGAGCTCCAAACTGGCCAGAGATACATTTTTTTTGCATGATCTTACTTGAGTCTGTATGTCTGTGTGTCAAAATGGTTTTTAATACTGTTTGCTTTACAGAGAAACTGCTGGGCTTGGTCAGTGTTGCTGGGATTCTTTGAGATCCGTGGCATTCCTGAAGTGCAGAAGGGTTCTCCTCATTCCCATCCGTGCTAGGCAGTGGAAAGGATGAGTGAGATGTAGAAGCCCTCATTCTTATTTGCTAGAGTTGATGCTGGAGGTTCTCTGGTTAGTTTTTTAACCTTAAGAAGCAGTAAGAAGTGGCCTCAAGCTCTGCCAGGGGAGCTTTAGATTCGATATTAGGAACAATTTCATCATGGAAAGGGTTGTAAAGCACTGGAACAGGCTGCCCAGGGCAGTGGTGGAGTCACCATCCCTGGAAGTGTTCAAAAAAACCAGGTGGATGTGGCACCTGTGGACGTGGTTTGGTGGTGAAACAGGGTGGTGGTGGGTTGATGGTTGGGCCTGGTGATCTTGGAGAGCTTTTCCAACCTTAATAATTCTGTGAAGGAATTCATAGCACAGCTCAAGCATCCAAGGAGTGTTTGAGTAGTGAAAGAGAAGAGGCTCATCCACACAAGAGGCCACCAGGCAAGTGACAAAGCTCTTCAGGACGTGACAGATCTGGTGTGTCCAACAAGAGCTGATCTGCAAAAGAGCGAGATGGGGGGGTTGGTGGGGATATTGTCACATGTCCCCAGGGACAGTTTAACTCTGATTTCCACCCCTCTCTCTGGAGCCAGCTCCCTCTCCATGCTGGTTTGATTAAGGGAGGGCTCATTTGCCAAAGTCTCTGCAGGAGCTGCCAGCTCTGAGTGCAGAGCTGGTCCTGTGTCACCTCCCAGGCACACAGGTCAGGGGAACAGAAGCAGAACGTGCTGGGCTTTGGAGCTGATGCCCATTGCTGGGTTTGTGTCTTGGTTCTGTTTGTTTCTGCTGGCAGGGGAAAAACAACCAATTGCTACGTACAGAACGTGAAGAGAGGCAGTGCTGGGTTAATCTGAAGGGCTGGTTGTTGTTTAAACCACTTAGTTACAACAATAAGGGGAAAAGAACCTTGCCCCCAGTTGTCTTGCTGTTTGCACTGTGTGCCCCTGAGAACAATACTGTGTGTTTGGGTTATGAGAATCTTCCCCTTCCAGAAAGGCATCTGGAGATAAACAATGCTGAATAAATGATGTTAATGCCATCACTCGTGCCCATCAGCTGCAGTGCTCTCAGAGGCACTGGGGGATCTGCTGCTAGAATGGTTTCTGATGCTGGTTTTATGGTTTGGAGTTGGGCACATGGTGCCAGTCAGGGGAGGTGGAGGTTCCAGAGGCTGCTCTGCTGCTCCAGCTGCTCCATCCCCCATGAGCTGCTGGAACAGGATTCACCAGTCTCTGTTCCTTCTTGACTATGGCTGACTGGAACATAAAAGACCTTTGGTTGGAAGAGCAGCACTGATTAATATCCTTGGAAGGCTTATGGATAACTTATAAGTGAAAACAGGTCACTCGATGTCAATGGTGATGGTTATGTTTGGGAGCAGAGAGACTGAAGGGATTAGTTTGGGACAGCAGAAGTTGGAAGACTTGGAAAATAAATAACTGTGCCCTGAAAGACTCAGATAGGGTTTGGCCCTGCCTAGAGCAGGATTTAATAACCCACTTGGGTTGTGCAATAACACACGAGGTGTTTGGAACAATAAAACCTGGAGGAGGTGCAGTCTGGGGGTTTGGGACAGCTGGGACCAAAAACATCACTGTGTTTTGGATCTGGTTTTGGGCTGAGAGATACTCCCTTTCTAGGGAAGAGAGATTAGCAAAGCCACTTAGGTGCTGACAGGTCTGCAGGGCCGCAGTTGTGGGGAACACATGTAGAACCCACCCAGAAAAATAAGCTCTGGTGATTCCCAAAGCTCCCAGGACGTGAATGGTCTCTCCTCATTCGACCCTGCAGGTTGATTTCTCTGCAGTGCCCTTCTCTTGAGCTGGTGATGTGGGGTGGGAAAAGCTGGAGGTGCTTTCCTCGGTGCTAATTAAATTGCAGTCACGATGGGGATGCGTGAAGTGCCAAGGGGAGGAAGAGAGGGAAAAGTACATGTGATGGGGTTTGTGCTTCCTCAGGAACAGGCAGAGGCAGCTGCATGGGTGAGATTTGGTAAGAGGCTTAAGAACATCTGCAAAGGTAGAGGAGTGTTGTTCCAGTGCCTCGGGGGGAGCAGGCACGTGGGAGGGGAGGGCAGGCAGGAGCCTAATGGGAGTATAAAAGTCGCTTCCAAAAGGATCAGATAAAGGCAAGGCAGCAGCCAGGGCACAGCACTGGCACTGCAGAGGGGTTTACCTTGAGAGGGGATGATGGCACAAGGAGCTTTAATCTTAATTGAGAGAGAGAGACACACACACACACAAGGATGAGCAGAGCCAGGGCTGCCTGACAAAGGCACAGCAGCAAAGCTGACGGTTTGCACATCAAACAGGGATTTAGAACCCCTCTAAGCAGCTCGTGGTGTGGCTGTAAACAAGTCCAATCCCCTCTATCCAGTTTGGCTAATGCAGTCTGCCAGGGCCTGCGTGGGGTGGGGGGAGGATGGAGGAGCCTCGTGGGGCTCTGTGGTTCACAAGAGGCAGCACAGGTGCCTTCCCCACACCGTGTGTGTGTGTGATCTCACACTGCTTTAGGGTTTGAACAAGCATCTTTTGCAACAGAGTCCTGGTCCCAAGGCTCTGAGTAATTCCTCTCCTGGAAAAAAAAAAATCCTGTTAAATTTGTCCTCTTTCTCTCCTCAAATACCCTCTGTTCTGCAGCGCCACATTTCATGGCTTTCCAGTTGCAGTAGGACTATTTGCATGGATAGAAGTGGAGGAATGAGGCTCACTGATGCTAGAGGAAGGTGGGTAGATCTTCCCTCTCTTCCCTCTGCCCCTCGTGACTGGAGGGAGTGGGCTTGATGTGGATATTGTCTGAGAGGGCACGTAGAGGAGACGTGGCAGAGTGTCAGGTCTCGCTCCGAACAGCCGGCAGATCACTGTGGTTCTGCAGATAATATTTGGGATTGGTCATGGATTCAAGGTCATGGATTCAAGACCCCTTCCCCAGTGATTAGAGGCTTCCTTGGCTCTGGTGTGGGAAGCAGCAAAAAGGCCAGCTTTCCAGCAGTGCAGAGCTCCCAGAGAGCTTGGGCTTTTTCTAGGGGTTATTGGTTCAACCTGAAGGAAATGACAAACCCTGAGAGCCTTGGCCTCAGAGCAGGGGTGTCCTCGAGTGTTAACCAGCGGTGATTCCTGTGGAAATCCCACCTGACAGGGGGAACATGGCAGTTGTGTCCCTTGAGGAGTCCCACTTTAGGAGTCCTGCTCCACTGGAGGCCGTGCATGGTGCTTTTGCAGTCCTGGAAAAACGATGTTTTGATCCACACGTCTCAAAAACTTCACAAAAGAGATTTCTCCCTTCTCCCTGTGTGAGGTTATTTGTTCTGTATTAACACTCCTGTCTCATCATTCCACTTGGTGCTCTGTTGACTAAGCAAGGGAGAAGGAGAAATTTTAGGAGGAGTGAACTGCGAACAGCTTCACATTTGGGAATGTGGAATTTTTGTTGACAAGGCTGTAGCTCACAAGGTGGATCCGGGTGTCTCCTCTCCTGCGGGCCCATCCCCGAAATTCCGCGTGCCTTTTCCCAATGACCCCGTCTGGCTTGGCACTGAGACCTCGAGCTTTCATCTGCAAGGGAGGAGTTAATATTGGGGGATGGAAAAGAATTGGGATCAGGGATGTTCCGGCTAATGGTTAGAGACAGAATCACAGCGAACGGCTGTTCTCGGAGCGTGTGATAATGAGCCGGGATGCAGACGTGTTTTCATTTAACTAAGCCAAACAACAGGGGGAAGAAAAAAAAAAAAAAGGCAGCAGCCTTTATTGGACTGCTGCCTTAAATTGAGCAGAAAATCAGCACCAAATGGGCATCCAGGAGCTGCAAGCCCAGGCACTGTTGTTTATGTGTTTTACCATGAAGGACAATTGTTTACCTAGGCAACGTGAGGGTCGGGGCTCTGTCGGTGCCCTTCATCCTCTTGGCTTGGAGCTGGAGGACTGTCCTCTCTTTGT